GGAGTGGATTCCAGCCCGGGAATTATCCTATAGGGTCAACGCCAAAATCAAACCCAACCGTTTCTGTGATGGGCAGCGCCCAGGGCAAACGTGCGCCGCTGATAGCTCCGCGGGCGCGCCGCCGACTGCCGCGCGACAACAAAACGCGGCCGGACACATTACTGCAATGCGCCTGGCGCAAAGTAGACGACGTGGACGCTGAGAACGCCATCGTCGCCCCGAAGTCGAGGCCGGCCTGCGCGGCGCCACCTGCGGCCGGCAAGAGGGGGCTGCTGCGGACTTCCCGAAGGAAATGCTTCTGGCGACGACGCCGACGCCTGCGCGAGAGCCGGCGCCCGGGCTGAACGAGGCAGCGCATTCGCCGGGGAAGCTCCAGGCAGCCGCCTCGCCTTCCTGCCCATGCGCGTCCGAGATGGCGACGAAATCGCGGCCTCAGAGCAGCCGCCGCACAAGCGTGCCAGCGTCTGCGCGGCGGCGGCGCTTTCGGGCGCAATGCTGCGGGGCGTTCCAGCGGTGGCCCTGGGCGTCGCCAACGCGTGAAAATCGAAGTTCTACAGGCTCGAACACCGCTGGCGCTGGCGGCTGCGCCCAGCGCGGGGCCCCGGGCCGGGGGCGGCCGTCGGCGCGGCAGCCGCGGCGAGCGAAGTGGACTTGCCGCGAGCGGCAGCGAGGGCAGCAGACCAAGACTCGCAATGACCTCCGCCGCGTTAGTTGCACCAGTCGCCAGAATAATCGGTGCCGGAGACACAGGCCCGCGAAGCGATAAAGGATCGATGCGACGCGAGATCACAAGGGCGAGGGCGTAGCAGCGGATGCCGTCAGCTTCGAACACCTCCATTAACAACGCACTGGCCCCCTGGCGCAGCTGGGCTCAGGTTGGCCAGGACGCCCGAGCCTAGACTCCCCCCATAAATACTGCTCGTCCTGAAGGGGGGGGGGGGGGGGGGGGGGGGGCGAGGCCGCGCGGCCGCCGCCGCCCCGCCGCCCCCCCGCCGCGACCGCCGCGCGCGGCCCGCCGCAGTCCATCGCGCATCTACACGGATACGAAAAGCACATTGCAGCCGACCAGAGTCAGCCCGCCGTGCAACGCGTCGTGGGTGATCTCGCCGTCAGCAGCCGACTGCGAATGCAAGCGGACTCGGCCTGGGTCGGCGGAAATATCGCCCTCGGCCGGCCGCCGCCAGGTGCCCGGCGCCCGCCGCTCGTCCGTAGCAGCGTGCTTCAGCGGCGCCCCCGCCCCTTCAACGACAGCGGCGACGTCGCCGCGCCGCGCGCGAAGGTCGAAGCCGAGAGATGAGCCGCCGCCAATGGCCACTCCCAGCGCCAGGGGCCCCGCGACCGGGGCCGCGCGCGCGCCGCGGGCGGCGCGCGAGCAGCGCAGAACCGATCCTGCGACCATTCGAGAGGGTCGCCGCTGCATCTCGAGGAAGGCTGAATCCGCATCCGCGTGCCGCGCTGCGCCCGCCCGGCTCTGCCGCGCCATCTGCCGGGCCCCCGTTCGCAGCGTCGCCAGACAAGGTCCAGAAAAGAAGGCCTTGGAACAGACGTCGTAGATGTTGTCGAGGGCGTCTGGCGGCGCCAACTCGGCCAACAAGGCTGCGAGGTCGGGGCGGATGGAGGCGTCAGCCAGAATGACCTGGCTTTCTCTTTCGGGCATGCGAAGATCCCGCACCAACATCCTGAAAGAGAGCTCCGTGACCGTCGGCGGGGGCAGGAATCTCACCGAGGGCCGTGGCAGAACGGCAATGGAACCTGGAATGCGCGTCGCGTGGCCCATCGGGAAGCCGATGTCTACGCAAGCATCCGTCATATGCTGCATCACCCACGGCAACCATGAGGGAGGCTGGGCAGTCGGCGAAGAAAGACCGATCCGGCTGCCGCTGCGTCACCAGCGACTCGGCCACCCACAGCACGCTGGGCAGCTGCAGCGGCAACTGCGTCCTGAGACTCGCCACCCAGAGGCTCTTGTGGACATGAGCTGGTCCTCCAGGTGGTGACCGCGCGCATGGGCTGCGGAACGACGGCGGCGCCCACTTGTCGCTAATGAGGGCATGCAAGGACACATCGCGGATCGTGCCCGCCGAAGAACTTCCGGGCACCGCGTGCATCGGGGCGGCCGGGCGCAGCGGCCCCCCCGTGAAGACCGAGGCAGGGGTCCGCAGCAACGTAGCGTGCGGCCTGCCAAGGGCGGCTGGAGAAGCCGGAGCCCAGGCTAACAGCCCACCGTCTGGCAGGAGCCGTTGCATATCCGCCGCCGTGAGCTGCCCCTTGTCCAAGCGGCTCTGCCAATCTCTGGCCACCGCCAGCGGCAGTAGCCAGGGGTTCGAAACGGCCTCGGCCGACAAGTCTGGCACCGCCGACAGCTGCACAGAGACGCGTTTGCCCTGGGAGGCGGCTGCGGCGAGCAGGAAGGCGAAGGCTGGCGCAGAAATTTTGCGCCTCTGATCCACTCCGCCACCCTGCTCTCGCCGACGCTGCTGGAGCACAGTGGACAGCTGCTCCAAGCATTGGCGATGAGCCGCCTCGAGGGACTTCGAACACACTTTGGCGGCCTCCACCGCTTCCTCGCTCCATCCGGGAAGGCGAATGATTGCAAAGAGAGCGCGTGCTTGCTGTCAACGGCGGTCGATGTCGGTGGCCGTCGGCGCCGGACCCTCCCAAGCTAGAAGTCCCAGGCGCGTCCAAGGGTCATCAGCATC